AAATCTCAATATGGGCACGAATTCTTTGGAGGTTTCTCTAATCTAGTGGTCCCCTACCTAATGGACAACATATGAGCTCAAAAGCTTTTAATCACTTGGGAACGTTCCCTCGTTAGACATTGTTCATGCAAATCAAAACATATTAAATGTGGCATTTAATACCATTGAAAAGAGAAAAAAACTTCTGATACACATACTCAATAACATCAGAAGATTCCAAAATTCTGTCATACATTTAATTCTAAATCGATTCTAGTCTTTATACAAATTATAAATTTTTTGAAAATAATACAAAATACATGTTAATAGGAAAAAAAAACAGATGTATTTAATTATTATTTAGGAGAATTTGAAATTTTGAAAATTTTCTTTATAAAATATTGTTTGAATTTTATTTTTTAGTCTCAACGTCAACATGATCTATCAGAAGATGATATAATACGTTCACGTCTTCTTTATGAAGGTGATCAAGGTATTGATGATCGACGTATATTAACATTAATGAAAACATTTAATAAATTTATATATGATTTATCATCAAATTCTGATGAACATAATTCAACAATAGAAAAATTACTTTCTTTACTTTATTCAATTGAACATTCACAACATCTTTTAAAATCAACATATCAAATGGATGAATTAGAACAATTATGTTATGCTTCTAAAACTCAACGTTTAAATGAACAAGTTAAACAATTACGTCATGAACTTGATCAAAGTGAATTACGTTTGATTGAAGCTAAACAAAAACGTTCTCATTTACTTGAATATGATGCACGTGCAGCTACAATTAATAAACTTGGTACACGTCGAGAATTACGTGCACAACAAGCAGCTACATTAGAAAGAAAACATTATTTTGAACATCTTCAACAAACATTTGAAGCAACGTAAGATATGTTGAAATTTTATTTCTATCTAACAAATTTCATGTTTTCGTGTTGAAATTAAAATATGACTAAAGAAAAAGGTTCGAACGAACAAAACAAAAAAAAAAAGGCATAACTTCAATACTTCATGTAAAAATTTGAAGAATGTTCGAGTAGGAATGAAGTTTATGTAAACAGAACCAATAGACATTCTTTCAAAAGAAAAGAAAAAAAAGCATAAAAAAAACAAGTATTGAATTTTACTATATATAGTTACCATATTTTTGAAATGTAAAATATGTGTAAACTTTTAGTAAAACTTCGAAAAGACCTAAACAGAAACAATCAAACTACTAACAATAAAATGCATAACATTCTCAGATGATTTTTTCGTCTGGTGAAATTGTTGTACTGATCGTTTTGATAAAAAAACATATTCAAACTTACTCAATAAATCATGGTGTTAGAGTTAAAATATTCGACAACGCCAATTACTACTCAGCAGTACTCAGGAATAGCTGAAGTTTTTGAGTATTTCGGTCCGAGCACCATGTTTTATTAAGAATATTTAAATGTTTTTTTTTTTACCAAAATGATCAGCGCAACAAGTTATATAAATGAAGAAATCTTCTGAGAACTTTACATTTTTCATGGTTAACTATCCATGGAAGTATTCATCAAAAATACAATTTGTAAGCATTTTGTTGATAGTAGAAAGTATGAATGGAAAAGAAGACAAGCTTCACACAGGTCTTCTTCAATTCAAAACTGATGTTGTTCATTTTTGATTCGTATTTACATGATCTCCAAGGAAATAATAATCAGAGGTCGAGATAGAGCAAAATCAATGAGCATGTCGTTTATACTCAATAACATGCAGGTTGGCAGCTGTCGAAAGAATGTTTGTGGTAATAAATCAAATTGTGAACCAAAGAAAATTTAATTTAGACTCAGCAACTATTAATAATATTTTATTTTTTTCGTATGATAGAGATATACAAAGTAAAAGATTCTCGAACTATATTATTTTTGTGCTTTGGTGTCTATCATTTGCAACCAAATAAATCCTATGATGAAAAGATATAAACATCTTATAAAGATGTGAAAAAAAATAGAGATCACAACGAAGTTAGAAACAAATTATTCTTCTCGTTTCGATCTCTGATAACATTTATCTCAAAATTCATAAAATTGTTTTTTGAGTAGAATAAGTTTTACTGATGATTAATATAAATCATTTATTTTTATTTACAGTTATCAACAACGATTAAAACAAATAGCTGTTTATATGCGTCCAATATTTGAATTAGATGAAATTTTACGACAAGATGCTAATGAAGATAGTCCAGGTGATACAGGACCAAATGAATCGCCTGTTGAACAACAATCATCATCGTTGATTTCTACTTTACCAACTATAAAACATGAACGACAACGAACTAATTCTGATTCTTCAACAGCTTCAATTGAAGCGGATGATACAAATTCAACAACAACACGTTCAAAACGACAACATAAAAATCACTTAGGTTTAATATCATTATCAGCATCATTAGCAAATAATCAACCACAAGCATTATTTTCAAATGAAACAGAATTATTTGGTACACAACTTATTAATCCATTGTTATTATTATCTTCTTCGAATATTTCTTAATTCCTATGTATAATGTTTTTTTTTTTCTTTCTTCAACAAAAAAAAAGAAATGCTGATGTTAATCTCATGTTTTTTTTCTTCTTACAATTAATTATTGTTTTTTGATTATCCTTGTTTTTATATTCTCAGATATTTGATCATCAGTTCGAATACGAAATTCATGAAAAAAAAAGATATTTTTAAATATTTATAATTAGCATGTAAAGAAAAAAGTTCAGTTGTTTTCTATATGAAAACAAAAAAAAATTGCAAGCTCTAGTTAATATTAAATTGAACTAAATATATTCCAGATTATTTGATCTAGTAGAGATAATAATGTTTAATAAAGATAATATATCAAAAGTGTTTAATAATATGATTTGTATAAAATCTAATAGCATTAATTGTTGTTATTGTGTATTTTATTTAGATCTAAGATTAAATGTGGCATTTATGTCGTTTAACGTCTCGGCCGCTGATTGGCGCATATCCTATATTAATTCGACAGCGGGCACTAATTCCAATTCAACCTTCAACTCCTCAACGACTTTTTTCTTTTCCATCGTTTTTTAAAATAAAAAAACATTTACCTGAATCTCTTCCACAACCACCAGTTAATCCACGTCATCCACCTGATTATATTCCACTTCGACCATCTATTGATCCAAATGTATCAAAACCTATTCAATCTCAGTCCAGTATATTTGCTCGTTTTCATCATGCATATGCTAAATATGGAAAGATTCTATTGGCTGTTCATTTTGTTTCATCATTTGCTTGGTTTTCTGGTCTACTTTTACTTCATTTCAATGGTTATGATCTTGGTATGAAATAAAATAGAAAATATTTCATTTTATTATTATTAAATTTTTATAGGAATGTATATTATGAACGGTCTTGTGCAAATACATGTCATTAGTCCAGAACGACGTTTATCATTCATACGTCATATGAATGAATTTTCAATATCAGGAATATTATCAAAAATTCCATTTCTTTCACAAGAACGTCGTAATCAATTGAATGCATATTGGACTGGTGAACGTGTTCGTTTATTAGCTACAGTTTTATTACTTTATAAATTTTTAACACCTATTCGTTATGCTTTTACATTAGGTGTAACAACATATGTATCACGTACATTTCTTAAACGTGGTTTTATTAAACGGGCACCACAAGGTGATTCATTACAAGAACTTTATCATGACCAAAAATTATTGATTAAAAGTCATGTTAGACGAGCAAGAGAAAAGATCAAAACATCTGCACGTCGTGGAGCACAGAAACCCGAATGAATCAAGTTTACTTGTTACTATGATTTAAAATTTATAGCTTTTTCTTTTTTCTGTTTGAATTTATTCACTAATTCAGCTCTATATGAATATATAAATGGAAATAGAAAAAGCAAATTATTGATTTGTTTGAATGAAATTTATATTTGATTATGATTGGTAATTCTATGTGTGAGATCAGTTATTACTTATTATAGCTTTTGAAAAACGAAAAAGATCTAATAATTATCAGGTTTTCTTGTTTTTACATCTTATTACTTTTTTTTTCATGCAAATAAAGCGACAAGTGCTGTAGTTAATTATGAGATAATATTACGAGTATATGTTATATGTATCTAGTTCACTTAAACATTATTCATTTATTTGTCTAGAATGAAAAAAAGACATAAAGATAACGAGAAAGATAAAAACATTTCGAAAAGAATGATGAAATAGATTGAAAACTTTCAATGACAAAAGAACAGAATGCATGCAATTGTTGTAAACGATGTCATAATAAATCTCAACATGATTCGACGATACACTAATGAAGAATTTAATGAACAAAGTTTTCAAATATGTTAATACTATTGTTGTTGAAAAAAATCTTTAAGACTAATTGTTTCTAACACATTTCGAGCAATTATACTATTGTTAATTGTCTAGTAGTTAGGCATCACCAATTGTCATAATATTTCAAGTTTGTAGTCTTTTCAAATGTGTTTGGGAATCTTAAGATGAATAAATTTATATATTGTTCGATGACCTATGAAGCTTTTATCTATCAGTTTATTTGTAAAAAGAATGGGTGAAATTGAATAATATCTTTTTTTTTTTGCTGACTAACTTGTTATCGTTACATTTTAGAAACAGTGACAATCTTTTTTATTTTTATTTTAGATGAATCAAGTTGATACAGTAGTAATTGTATAGTTGAAATAAAATGTAACACAATACAAAAACTAAATAATGAATTTTTATTTGTTTTAAAAATTAATCTTCTTTTTGTTGCCTAACTTGCTTGAAAATTACTTGTTTGTTGTTGCATAAGGACTCTGTGGTTTTTTTTTTTACAAATCTCAGTTGAATATTTCGTATAGTTAGTTGATTTATTTCGTTTTTTATTAAAGAAAAACTTTTTGTTAAAGATTTATCCAAACTACTTTAAAATCTTGTCGAACTGTTATTTTTTTTTAATGTTGTAAAAATAACTATACAACCATACTGATTGATTAATTAACAAAAAAGAAATATTTCAAGAAGACATTAAATAAAAAAAATTAATAATTTGTCACTCAATAATTTTTGTTTTTTGAAATTGTTATTGCTATATAAAAAGTATCTTACGAATAAAGTTCCTTGTTAATATATGATTAATGAATACAAATACGAATACGAATTGAATATAAATTATGTTTTAGTATTAATCTAAATATACTCATTAATATCGAAGAAATGAAACTAGCAAATATATATGACATGAATATTAATTCTAACAAATATTGAAAAAAAACCTGTCATGAATAATGTTATAGTTTGTTGAGTAGATTAGAAATGGAAATAGTTGCTGTTTTTCTTTTGCAATCGAACCGAGTCGAGTTAAAAACTCTCCAAAACTTCCTATAACTTTGTAAACATATTAGTCTTAAAACTGTCTCCATGATAGACTTTTTTTTATACATCATGACATTACAAATGAATCAGATTACAATAATTACATGTACTATGCTTTTCAGAGAGTTAAAAATAATTGCAAAATTTGACATTGAGCTTATGAAATCTTTATCTTACTTGTAGTTTATTTCTGTACATAATATATCTGTATGTCAACCATTGCAACGACTAAACAACTATATATAGTATTTGAAAAACAATCCATAGGATGGCCAGTTCTGTTGATACTAAACATAGAAGGAAATATCCGTCATATATGTGATGAGAAAGGAAAAGTCCAACACATAGGTCTAATCATAGAGAGAATGAGAACAAGAGATGCATTATGATAGAGAAATCTTATAACTTCATTCAAATAGATGTAGGAGATAAAAAAAAACTGACTCTATAAACAACTTCTTACTTTTAAAATGATTATTTTGTTTTCCATCAAATTTTCTTGTTTACACAACTTACAAGGATTAATAGTTCCTCAATTGCGTAATTAAGATTTTGTATTTTTTCGCAGATGTTTATTAATATACGTAGGTTAGTTTTCATCAAGTTCGATGCCATTATACATCGAGTATTGTTTATCAATAGAGAGAATTCTCTAATGTGTTTCTATTGAAATACTATTTTGACATCTATGACTCTCTTTGAATGTATTATGGATAATTATTCTTTCTAATTAAATCATATCTCTAAAGGATTTATTGTCATAATATCAAAAGTAGAAACTACTACGGAACGAATTAGCCTCACATGTATTTTCAACATGACAAACAAACTCTATGATCTATACCAAGAGACAGTCGACAAGCTAATTTGAAAGGAATGAGAATTTTCTAATTTTTCATAATTTTTAATTACATTTATTATCCGGGTTACATGAATTTCGGCCCACGGAATTTTCGGGCCGGGCCGAAAGTCCTAGAGGAATTTCGGCCCATCCTTAGAATAACCTCATTGACCCCTAAAAAAATTTAATTTTTTTAATTAATTACTAGATATCGTAGTGCTGAGCAGGACGACGTGGTGCTGAGCAGGACAGCGTAGTGCTGAGCAGGATGGCGTAGTGCTGAGCTGGACGACTTAGTGCTGAGCAGGATGACATGGGCGTGGGCATAGCTGTGGATGTCGATCAACGCAAAAAAGATACGAACATACCGCATACGCCTACACGCACACTAGCACCCAACAAGCTTACACCTACACCCACACCCATGACATTCTGCTCAACATTGCGCCATGCCGCTGAACGCCACGCCGTCCTGCTCAGCACCAGGTCGTTCTGCTCAGCACTACGTCATCCTGCTCAGCACTATGCCGTCCTACTCAGCACCACGTCGTCCTGCTCAGCACAATGCCGTCCTACTCAGCACTACGTCGTCCTGCTCAGCACTACGATATCTAGCAATCAATTAAAAAAATTAAATTGTTTTTTAGGGGTCAATGAGGTCATTCTAAGGATGGGCCGAAATTCCTCTAGGACTTTCGGCCCGGCCCGAAAATTCACCGGAATTTCGGACCGGGCCGAAAATTCCGTGGACCGAAATTCTGGTCTCCCTTATTATCCAATCTTGTTCTTCTAGTTCGAAGTATGTATTGAAAAACAAAAATATGAGAAAATGTATCCTAAAGCCGAATCAATTTCAGCTAAAATTGGTTCGAAATTGAATCGATTCCATCTCTGTTATCAATGTTATTTTTTGTTGATTCCATATTGCACACTTATAATTCTTTCTATTATTTTTTCTAAATGTACAATATTTAAAGTAATTATTTGTTGATTAATTTGTGAATAAAACAGTTTTCAATAAAATTCTTTTTCGATCAGAATATATTTATGAGAAGAAACAATTTTGATTGTTTTCGAATGTTGAGATAGAGAAATCCACATATTTTAAAGACAAGATTAATTGGGACTGATACGGTCACATCCATTCGTTCAACAGATCAAGTTTAAGATCGAAAATCGTTTTTATTATGTAGTTAAAATTGGCATTGAATCCTATGTGTCTCGCTCTAGTTGGACAATGTCTAACCATGAGTTACTGATTAGAGAGGGGATTGCAGAAGCTTTCCCATCCCAAAATTATCGAGATCTCTGCAAGAATTTTTAAACTTCTGGAAAATCGTAATAGAAAAAGAATTTTAGCGTTTTAGGCTGTGATTCTAACGGGTACTTATATAGAGACATTTTCTATTTAATTTCCGTAAAAATCTTTACAATTTCTACTGAATTTTTAGTTTCCTCTGTCCTGCAAAAAAGAAATCGAGAAGTATGCGTTCAACAAATGAATGAGTTTTATGCAGTGAGAATCGAACGGACTGTTAAAAAACACAACTAACTGATATTTTATATAGAAAAAACTCTTATTCATTAAATTATTCTGTGCAAAGAAATTTCTGAAGCATACAAAAGGCAGTTGAGAGGGAATATCTCTCTTCAATATCTGCGTCGATACAAGTCTCAGATATATACATTTTTTCTTAGTGATTTATAGCATTTCTCTATCAATTGGAATTTTATCAGTGTCTTGCATAGGTAAAAATGACTTCTACATAATCATTGTTACTGACGATAGTCTAGAGATATCTTTGATAATGTATATTTGTCTAATTATGTGAAAGTATTTGAGTGTACACTCTATCTATTCCATCTGAAAACCATCGATTGAGACATATATCTTTCGAGAAAAACATCAATTAAACTGTTGAAAACTTTTTCAATACATTGAAAACAAATAACAATAAAAGCTATCAAGTTGAAGAAAATGATTGCAGATGTAGCATGCTGTATTGATAAATTTTTCATTTATTAGAATTAAATAAAAATTTGTTCACAACAAAAATTTTCATTTCCATGTAACTATTTGATCTATAACCCTAGTCAATTACTTTCATAAAGTTAATATTATTAATTAATATGTATAATGAATCGTTGAATGATTTGTTTAATGACAATTTTAAATGCATCTGTATATAATTTTGAGGGTAAAACATATGCAATAAATGTCATCATCGAGGGTAAAAATGAAATTAAATAACCAAAAAGAAATAACCATGAATTACTTGGTGATTTCATACATCCTGTAATAAATGATATGATTAAGCGTGGTACTGCTAAAAATACCAAAACACATGATGCAATAAGATGATGTTTATTTTGTTTTAATTGTAATATTAAATGTTTTTTGAATGATATTTTTGGTTGTAGAACTAAACGAGAACGAGCTATTAAAATGATAATGAATATAATAGATGTTAAATTAATTATAAATGGAATAAGAAAATGAACGAGAGTAATAAATGTGTTAAAGATATTGATTGAAGAAGAGTATTGAACTAGACACCAAATTCGTTGTTCATCATTATCAATGTCATCAATCAAATGACGATGTAAAGGAATATGAATATGAGTTATAAGTATGAAAAGAATAATACTTGAAATTATCCATTTAGCTATTTGTTTACTTTTAAATTTGTTAAAATTAACACTTTTGATAACAGTAAATATTCGTTCAATAGAGACACATCCATAAAGCCAATCATTTGAAGCCAAAAGAACTTGAAGAATCATATCTAATAATATACAATTTGAAGTAAGAAATAATCGATTCGTAAGAATAGCCATTTGAGATAAAACTAATTGCCAAAATTTGATAATCAATACAATTACGACAGATATAGAAATCCATGAAGAAACTAATAAATAAAATCCACAACCTGTATCTCTTGTTTTCTTCAAACGAAATGTTAAAATAGATAAAATTCCATTGATTAATCCAAAAGTAAATATAATTGTAGTAAATGCTACACTCATTTTAACAATTAATGGCTGTCGTAAAAATGAAATATTTGGTTTAATATGATAACCAAGAATATAATCAAGTGATAAAATAAAACTTCTTGTTGAAAATTGACATTTTGTTCCATAATAACAATCTGGACAAACACATACTGATACACTAGAACAAGTAACACTGTCTTGAAAACATTGACCACCATTTTTACAATCACTGTAACCCTGACAATCATAAGATTGATTGTGTTCAAATATGAAACAGTTAGAGAATCGATCCAAATCACATATACACATATAGTATTCATCATAGAAACATCTCAATTGTTGATATTGTCGACATACAAGAGGATAATATTTGATACGATGAAGACGAGAATAAGAAAGAAAAGTCTTGTTCAATAGGTCATGTATAGAGGCACATCGTTGGTTTGATATTAATTCAGTTTGAATATATTCTGATTCAATAAATTTTTCTCTCAATACAAGTAAATAATAAGTTTTATTGAATAATTCAGCCATAAGAATATGAAATGGATTAGTGACATAGAGTGTAATTGTATTTTCATTATATTTGATCTTTTTCAATGTTGTTATACGTTGATGTGTTGCATTTTCAAATGCAGTAATATAATGTATAAATATAGTTTTTATGCCTCTAATTATTTCTTCATTAAATTTAATTGAAATTCTGTTTTTAATATTTTCACATCTAATTCCATAAAAACTTTCTTGACATAGACATCAGAGACTGACGGGACGATCAGAAACTGTCCCGGCAAGGCCCGGCGGGAGTTGTTCAGAGATTGTATCCCGTCCCGTCCTATCTCGCTTAAATATTTTCAATCCCGTCCCGTCCCGCGTCCCGCTACATTTTTTCCAATCCCGTCCCGGCTAATCCCGCGGTCATGTTTTCTCCAAAAGTACAAGGGGTATATATAGAGCTTTTCGCAATGTAAAAATANTCTCAATAGGATCCGAGATGGGTCCGACAGGATCCGGTGTGGGTATGTTAAAATCGTAGATTGTCGGATCTTAGCTGGGTTTCCTACCGGAAAACGTCGTATCCGTACGGGATCGCTCCGGAAACCGACGTTTTCCGTCGAAAAATTGATCGGATCCGATCTAGTTTGTATCGGAATCCTGTGCATGAGAATCCGGGCCGAATTGCGTCGAAAAAAATCCGATCGTCGGATATAAACGGGTTTGATGTCCGTCCGCCAGGATCCGATCCCCCGTGTTTCTCTTTGGTTGACCAAAATTGAATTAGAAAAAAATAACTTAGTACATAGTTGTCACATTATATATATATTTTTCTCATGTGACAGTTGATTAACACACTGATTTACTTTAGTGAATGTGTCAATGAAATTATGATCATGTCAATCACGATATATTTTCTTTCTTAAGAAAAATATTTTTATAATGATAATCATATTTAGAAGTCTAACATATCTGTATCAGTTTTAATTTTAACATCTGCAGATAAGTTGTTTTATAACTCATTATATATTGATTAACTAGAAACTAAGCATAACTTTTTTTCTTTATCAAATATGCAAATGTCATGCTTTCTTTTTTTTACAAATTGCTAAAGAGAAAACAAATGATATTTTCTCTTATATTTATTCAAAAAACTAAGTTCTAAAATTAAGCTTCTTTATAGACATATGTCACAGTTGACATGGGAATCCAGTTCAGTTTGGAATGCATGTTAATAGCATAAGTCACACGATAATTAATTTTTGTTTACTATTGTATTCAACTTTTGCAATTTTAGCGATTCTAAGTGATTGGTCGAGCTTCTATGATTTATTTTGAATTATTCTAAAATATTTACATATAGAAAATTTTCATTTTTAACCATTCTTATTTAGTGACTATTAAAATTTTATGAATTTTATTCATTTCCTTATAATTAATTGATTGATGTTCGTTGCTATGAAACATCCAATCAAGAAACATATTCTGTCTGTTTGTTTTCAATTACATAAATTTTTTTTTTCATATGAATCTCTTACAAAAAAATGAGCATTACCAATCCTAAACTTCAATCTTACATTGATAAACTTTCTCACAATAAGTGTATCGAATAGATAATCAACAATCCACTTATAGTCCAATTATTGCTCAATCAATCGAAAAATACAGCGACTGCTATTCTGAATAGCATAAACCATTCAACTTCAAGTTTTAACAATGAATTTGCTTACACTACACATTTAACCAATCATTCGATCTCCCCATATCACAGCATCGAAAAAAAGGGTGGGGATGTGTGGTGGGTGCGCGGGTGTCTTGTCTTCATGCACACCCTCTCCGACACCCACACCCACACCCTGGTTCTTCAACATCACGTTTTTTATCTTCGTCAATTGTTGGTAGAACTGGTGAACCAATGTTCGTATGTTTCTTCATATAGTTCAATATCTTATTAATAATTTCACATTGATCAACATATATTTCGTTCACTTTTTCTTCCTTTTGAGTTGTCGATAGGGTTAAAATTGAGCCCAGATTAGTTATCATATAGGAAAATGGCTTATAATCGAAAAAAGTTAGTTTAATGAAAGTACAGTTTTCAGAAAAGCCAGTTTTCTTATATCAAAACCCATCGTTTTGAGAAATCTGTTCCTGACGTTTTTGTTTAGTTTTATTTGCTGTTACAAATGAGATATTGCTAAAACATAACCGATGAAAATTGATGGAGATATAAGTGAAACAATGGAGATGACCCTTTGTATCCGTTTTTCAGAGTGCCTCATGTTTCAACGGGGATATCAAATCAAATTACAGGAGCCTAAAATTGGTTTCATAACTACAGTTTCATATGAGAAATTGACTGATATTTAAAAAAGTATACCTTTATTTCGAGCATAGAATCGACTTTCTCAATGAGTTCGTGTAGCTTCTCTTAAAACGCATTTGTTCTGAAACTTTCACATTTTGTTCCATGACCCCTATTAAAATGTGTACTATTCGATAGAGAATAAAATTCTACACTTAGCACGACCAATTAGAGATCCAACACAAGTCATGAAGTGGATTCGAACAAGAACAGGTCGAATACGATGCTAACTTTACTTACGTAGACTTTCTCTACTTTTTTTCATAAAATAAATAATAGCTTTGAAATCTTCTTAGTTATCTAAAACAATTTTTTTAAATATTTTTATTTATAGATCGATGATTATTCATCAGAAAACGCGCCATTTTTATTATAATTATAATCGTTATTATGCTTGTTGTACCTCATTATAGATGTTGATCATTCTTTGAAAATATGCAAATCACAGATACTTGCAAATGTAAATAATAATGTATCTGAATAACATCAGTTTCTAATAGTTTCAAAAAAAAGCCTTTGAACTACTAGCTCAGCTTAATCATGTTTTTTTTTTATTTTCTAAATTTTTAAACTTCGCATGCATTGCTCGAATCTATTTTATTGCCTTTTTATCGATCGTATCGTTTTTCAGTTACCACGCATTGTCGTTCTTCTTACCCATTTCAAGCTTGATGAGAACTAATTGAATATACTCGCTTTTATGTGTGTATAAGGCTGTTCTGTTCTAAGATTCTCTCAATGTGTATATTATGCGTAGCAACAATGCAAATAATTTCTTTATCGGTAAATCACTAGTTTTTATTATTTGAAATAGAAAAAAAGAACAAATCGATTTTTATGTCAAATCGCATCTGAATCCATAAATAACTATCGCCATAAAAAAAATAATAATAACATATTAGATTGAAGAAAATCAAGATTGCAAAAATAAAAAAAATATGATCGAGGAAAAAATGTCGTTTTGCTTTAATTGATACATTTTTGTCAACAAATTTAATGATTATTCTTCATGTTTTAAGTATCCAATCGACGACAATCTTCACATGCATTCATTATATGTTCATCATAAGGTTCAATTTGTATTGTTGTTCGTGCAATCGAATGTTTCTGACGAAGCATTTCTTGAGCTTGCCTCAATACTGTTAAAAAATCTCGATCAGAACCTAAAGAAAAAAAAAATCTCATAATTCAAAAAAAAAGCATAGAGTATTTTACATATTTTGAAAAATAAAATGTCACAGATTACTTACTGATTGCAATATGAACGGAAAGAGCTGTTCTTTGCATCGATAATGACCATATATGTAGACTATGTGCATTCTGTACGCCAGGTAATTGAAGTAGATCATCAACTACTCGTGAATAATTAACATTTGACGGAACAGCTAATATATAAGATAATAGAAAATGAAATGAACAAAATTCAATAAAAAAACTACCTTCCATAAGAACAAAGATAATATCACGCATGATTGTGATTGTTGTAATAAGAACAAGGATGGAGAAAACAAAAGTACAGATAGGATCAGCTAATTTATATTGTGGCTAGAATCATTAATATATATATATATATACAATCGGCTGTTATGCATTTAGTTTTTAAATATACTTTAAATTTAATGAGTATAGCTGCACAAAGAACACCAACACTTTGAACAAAATCTCCAATAACATGTATAATAGCAGCTCGTACATTAATATTTTTAGTTGATTTCTTTGCTTTTAACATTTGTTCTCGGTTATGACCAGTTACAATATCAGCAACTAATGGTGAAGCATTAATAATCGTATCTGTATTTTCCAAAGTCTCATCATCTAAATCTTCATGATTGTTTTCATGTGAATGACCATGATTGTTTTCATGTGAATGACCATGATTATCTCCATGTGAATGACCATGATGAGGTATTGATTTACCACATACATTAGCATGTAAGACAAAAAACATTCTATTAAAATAAAATTGAAAAAAAAAAAATTTTAGTTTTTAAATGATAATCAACCCATAATTCATACCTACACGATATTGAATAAAACACCACATGATGCAACAATAATCATTTCTACTGGTTTTACCTCAAATGTTTGAGTGATACAACGCTCAACAGCCATATAAACAAGAACACCGGTAACTAACCAAATTGTTAAAACACTGATAAGTGCTCCAAGTACCTCTAAAAACAAATGAATAACTCACAAGAATGAATATATATATATATATTATTTTAATATATTGATAAACCTGCTCGAATATAGCCAAATGAAAGTCGTTTTGTTGGTCGTTTTGTTGCAAGATACATTGCTGTTAATGATATTAGAAAACTAGCGACATCAATAGCCATATGAGCTGCATCTGTTACAACAGCTGTTGAATTAGAAAGAACACCTCCTAAACAAACATGAAAATTCGCAAAACATTGCTTTTCTTTTTTTTCTTATTTTAAACTTAAAAAACATACCGATAATTTCAATTACCATAAAAATAATACAAATTACGAGTACAATAATAAGACGATTTCTTGCTCCGTAATCAAATTTATCATCCGGAACATGACAATGACTTGATAATGATAATTGATTTGATATAGTTGCTTCTCTTATGATTTCTGTATTATCCGCAACATTTAGTAATGGTGCTTTATCTTCACCGTCGTCACCCATTAATAAAAGACTGTCATCCGATGTATTGCCGTCATTAGGGTTTCGTTTGATATACTGTTCTCGACGAAACGCACTTGTGTTTGATGTCATCCAAAAAAACGAGCCAGAGAGAGAGAGAACATAAAAAAAAAAAAGAAAAAAAACTTATTGGGCTTGAGTCAATATAGAAAATCGCTTGATAAATAAGAAAAAGAAATTCAATTTAAAATATAATATTCGGTCAGTGAACTTTGAAGACTAGAAAAAAGTGGTGCATTATTTTTTTTTTCACCTTTTATTCTATTCTCATCATTCCGAATATGATATTTTAATAAAAATGAAATTGAAATAAACAAAACAAAGACGTTTAAACAAAAGCGAAAAAGAGTACACAACAAGCATACCTTATCTATAATCCAATAGAGGTCGCTTAAAGTTTCATAAATCTCTTTTATATATATAGAAAAAGATTTTTAAAAACTATTTTAATTTTTTTCTAATTTTCAAATTCAGATTAACTTACTTAATTAGTCTTGGTAGGTCTCACCTGTTTATCAATTATTGGTTTTTTATCATCCATTCAAATTGTTCAACGTTTGTCAGAGTTTTATATCAATAATACCTAACTTAAATTGGTTTTGATTATCATGGTATGAATCTAACATTCCACATTAGTGTTTATTCTCATGTCTCGGTGTATTAATATGCTATTTCATTTATTTATTCTTACTATCGTGTCAGATCTATTAATACATGGTAAATTAAACAAAAATGTTCTTTTTAATTTAAAGTAAAAAAAAACGTAATTTTCATAGGTGCTATTGGAGATCCAAGTGGCGATATTAATGATCATTTAGAAAAAGGAAAGAAATTATTAGCTAGTGGACAATTAGTAGATGCTTTATCAGAATTTCATTTAGCAATTGGTATGATCATATATATCAAAATATTATTGAAGAAATTTTTATAAGTTTATTTTTTTCTTTTGTTTAGATGCTGATCCAAAAAATTATATTGCTTATTTTCGACGTGCTGCTGTTTATTTAGGTATGGGAAAATCTAAAGCAGCATTACCTGATTTAAATAAAGTTATTGAAATTAAACCAGATTTTCTTGCTGTAAGTCTCTGGAAAGTTTTTTTTTTTTTTTTAAATTATTTTAATCAATTAAATTTTATTTAAGGCTCGTATGCAACGAGGAAATTTATTATTAAAACAAGGAGATTTTGATGAAGCAAAAATTGATTTTGAAAGTATAGTATGTAGATAATCATTATGTTTCTTCTACTTAAATAATTGTTAACTATTATGTGTGTGTTTTTAGTTAACATCAGATTCAACAAATAAGGAAGCACGTAATCAATTTGAATTAACTAAAAACATGGGTCAAACAAGTCAAGAAGCAAAGAATGCACACGCAAAACATGATTATACTAAAACTATTGAACTTCTTTCAACAATAATTGAGGTTTAAGTCTTATTTTATTTTCTTCTTTTTTATTTCGAATATTCTTGTTTTATTCTTCTTTGAAGCATTGTCCATGGGCAATAACATTACGTGAATTACGTGCTGATAGTTATTTAAAATCGGGTGATCTATCAAAAGCAGTTAGTGATTTTAAAGCTACAGCAAAATTAGTACCTGATAATACTCAAGCATATCTTAAAATAAGTCAATTACTATACACTATGGGTGACGCTGACGATAGTTTAACGTAAAAAAAAAAGATCTCTTTTTGTTTTTAAAATTTTTCATCAAATATATTTTTGTTTTTCCTTTTAGAAATATTCGTGAATGTCTTAAATTAGATGCTGATCATAAAGAATGTCATTCACATTATACTAAAGTTAAAAAATTAGCTAAACAACTTGAATCAATACGTGATGCAATAAGTCAATCGAATTGGAAAGAATGTCTTGATAAAGCTAATCAAATTCTTAAACTTTCATCAGATCCATCATCAAATGCATTTATATATCGTGCGCATTCATCATTATGTACATGTATGTCAAAAGGAAAATCTCCAACTAAAGATACAATTAAAAAATGTACAGAAGTTTTAGATACATATCATGTATCTGATGCTGAAATATTAATAAGTCGTGCTGAAGCATATATATTAAATGAAGAATTAGAATTAGCATTAGCTGATTATCAACGTGCACATGAAAGTGAAGATTCACAACGTGTTAATGATGGTATAAAACGTGTACAAAAATTAATAAAACAATCGAAAAAACGTGATTATTATAAAATATTAAATGTAAGAAGAACAGCAAATAAAGCTGAAATTTTAAAAGCTTTTAGAAAACTTGCTATTAAATGGCATCCAGATAAATATGAAGGTGAAGATAAGAAAAAAGCAGAAAAAATGTTTATTGATATAGCTGCAGCTAAAGAAGTTTTAACTGATCAAGGTTTGTATTTCAATTTTTGTCTTTTTAGAATAATTGAACTTATGTATTTATATAGAAAAACGTGCTAAATTTGATGCTGGTGATGATCCATTGGATGCCGAAGAGCAAGCTCAACAACATAATCCATTTCATGGTTTTAATCCATTCGGTGCTGGTAATGGACAAGGCTTTACATTTCGATTTCATTTTAATTAATTGTGTTTGTGTACAGTGGTCGTGTGTCTTTTCTTTGTTTTTATTCTCATCTTCTTTATTTTGTTTTCTTTTCTCTTTTTACAAAATTCAAAAAAAAAAAGTACTTAGACCTCTCTTTGTTGCTGCTATTGTTATTATTATTATTATTAACATCGACAATATTTTCTATTTGTTGGCTACAAAAAATAAAAAACTTTGAAATAGAAGCTATGTTAGTTTTTCGTTCTTTTATTTAAACACAGGAATACCATAATAACGAACGACAAATACACATATAAAATGCACGTTTCTTTTCTTTTTTGTTTTCTGTTGCAATAAAATAAATAACTATACATATATATGGAACGACAGTATTACGAGAAAAAAATATATATATATATATAATGGAAATAAATAAAATGATCGTTAAGTATGAGAACATAAAATGATCGTTAAGCATGAGGACATAAAATGTTTATTGTAGGTGTAGTTTTCTTTTGTCAATTATCAATCAGACATATTTGATCCATTAGACTAGAATAATAAACGATTATGAAAATTATTTTGAATTTTTATATAATAAAAATAATGTCTACCTGAAGTATAGAAACAATAAGACCGAATAAACCTATTGCACTAGCAAATATTTCAATAATAAGAATTCGAACAAATAATGATGAATTTTGTGCATCAGCTAATGCTGCACCTGATCCAACAAGACCAACACATACACCACAAAATAAATTGCATAAACCAACACTTAAACCAGCGCCAAATAATTTATAACCAGCACGATATTTAAGAGCTAATTCATCTACTTGATTTGTCGAAAAACTCTACAAATATAATTATTAAATAGTCCATTAGACAAAAATAAATATATATTCTTTGATTTTTATTTACAGAAATCGAACCGGATATAACAATAGCCATAATAAGTCCATAGATAGCAACAGCTTCACACATAATTATTGAAATAAGATTTTTTGTTCGAATACGTGGTGCTTTAATACCACCACCTAATATACTGACACCAGTTGCAAAAATACCTCTATAAAACAAAAAAATATTAGATATATTATCTTTAATTTATACAAAAAAGAAATATTTAATTTAATTACAAAGCAGCGCCAAGAACAGATAGTGATACGGCTAATGCAATACCAACTAATGCCCATTGATAAGGTGAAATTGATAAAAGAAACCAACCAATATCAAAACGAAAACCATAATTAGTTAACATATAAGTTAAACCTATGAGGATGAAAATAAATCATGTATTTTTGTTTTAAAAGAAAAAAAAAAGAGATTAGTTGAATACATACCAACATAGATAGATAAGCCAACAGTTGCAGTTAATGCGCCTATACTTAAGTAAGATGAACTCATTTTATATGTCTAAAGTAAAACTTAAAAACAAAATAATGATGTATAATTATGTTTAGAATATGGGACAGTAAAATGGTAGAATGATTTTATCAGTGAAAAATGTCTAACTTGGCAGTTTTCATGGTGGCGAACTCACTCAATTAATTGATGATGCTGATATGCGTAACATTTGTCGATATATAATAACCAATAGAAAGCGATATAAACAAAGAGGTCGTACTTATACTAAGAAAAAAATGTTTTTTTTTTTTTGCTTGGCAAAAACTGAAAATATATTCTTATCTATAAGTAACTAATATAGAACCTAGAAGAAATAATGTCAGATTTCAGACGTAAGTAAGAAAAAATCTTGCGTTTTCTCGAGTTTAACTAAAGTTTTATATACTCGAATTTTTTATTCAATATAGGATGAATGTAATTTTTACGCGCATGAATTCTTTTCATGACGATGAAATGTATGCATAAAAATGATAACTTTGAGAGGCAGGATACTAGAAGGCGAAGGAAAGAGGTTCTGCTGCTCTATGGATCTTTTATTTCGGCTTCGAGCAAGGTTTTCGAAATATGTGTTTTTTTCTGATACAAAAATTTGTTAGTCTCTACAATGAAACGTTTTATAAACATATCTTATTTTGGAGAACTGGTGTATTTGCGAAGAAAAGAAAATACACTAAATATAAGTTTCAATCAGACTTTAGAGGATATGCTGATTGAAACTTATATTAATTAGAGGTGCTACATTACCAATACAATAGTAATAAACTAATGGCAATTTAGTATTTCTAATATTTGCGGTATTTTTTTTTCTTCAAAAACACATGAGTTCCACAAAATAAGATATATATGTTTGAAAATGTTTCATTTCACAGACTAATCTTTTATGAAAAAGTAGTAAAAAAAAAAAGTGATTTGAGGTTTTATGATTTAGTAATGATGAGATATATCCTAAATAATCAATGTTATCGTTGTTTTTGTTCTTCTCAGAATAATCAGACATTTTATCATCAGACAGTACTTCAGTAAGAGTCTTATAATAAAAACCATCGTACCAAATCAATAACATATCTTATGACTATGTTATAAAGAATTTGACGATGCATTTTTCAAGTAAAACAGCCAAGATAATATGAATTATTTATGGTAAGATACTTGCGAAATGTCCTGTAATTCTTTCAGAATTCCTATATTACGAATTTATTTTTCGTATTTGAGAAAATTTCTCATATTAGACACTAGCTTCTGTGAACATCGCACTTAATGCAGCATGAAAGACCTTAAAGTAAAAATAAAATTATTATTGAAGGTACATTTGAGTAAAATAAATCAATGATTATTTAATTATACATCGAAATTTATCAAAGTTAAGTTAAGAGAATTATTTTCTCTATGAATTGAACAATAAAAAAGAGAAAAAAAAGACTAGCACATCACCAAACACCGATAACACACGAAAGCATTCAAGTGCAAAAAATAATAATAATGCTATACTATGAGATAATATGAATAATATAGTGGTTTCGAAGATGTTAATCGCGAAGAAAATAATAATTGAATTAAAATTTAACCAATTGAATATGAACGATGCAAATTCGCATCCTGGTATTTTAGGACTTGAATAACTTGAAAAAACATCATGATGTATTGATTATTTAATCATATGAATTGCATGAGTATTTGCGTTTAGGATATTGTTGCATGGCTAAGATTATTCATACCTAGTAACGATTATTGGTTGTCCCTTAATGTTTCTGGCAATCATCACCTGATTCAATGAGTTAGAACATCAAACCAGTTTGACAACATTTCTTGAGAAAGAATCATCGTTCCCGAAAGGATGTTTCATGTTACGAAATCATTCAAGAGTATCATTAATAGGAAAGATCCTGATCAGTTGATCGTATTTAGATAAATCATACAAAATGCATTTTCTAACATTAAAGGTTACTAAGAACAAAAGTCGAACACCTTTTCAAAGTCCACTCCGACTCACAGCACAACATTTCCCTTCGTACAATGCATCAATATCAATTCAAGAAGAAAATGTTACATTTGTGCTAATGCTGTGAGGAGAACCTAGTCAAGAAGAGAGAGACTTCATATGAATGTAATGTAGAATTGTGTCTTATGGATCGTTTTAAAGACTATTGCACTCTAAAAGTATTTTGAATCATGTATTTCGTGATATTTTTTTTGCAAAATAAATGTTAATTTGAAATTATAAGAACTTTAACTATTATAACAATAATTGCTTACTCAAAAGGTTAACGAATAATCAATAAAGTTGCCTAATTTTTGTTAATCGGTATTTATCATTTTTCTTTCAATTAATAAGCGCTGCAAAAATCTTTGAAAGAATATTCAAGTCTATTTCTCAACAATGTAACATCGGATAGATTGTGACATTTTTGTTTAAGAAAGCAAAGTTTGCAAAATATTTACATAAAACAAAACAACTTTCCGAAACGTTCATTTTTAATAACGTTCTCGTGCCCGTGTTTCCGTTGCCGATTCCTACGGGAAATGGAACAAGAAAAAACTCATTCCCGTAGGACGCTGGTTAGTTATCATGCTACTTATATTCAATATCATGCAGTTCAACTACTGTCGAAAGAGAGTTTTCGATAATAGGTGAAGTTGTCAAAGTCACACAGTCTAATTTCTACCGAACAACTGTTAATAATATTTTATTTCTTCGTTAGATGGAGAAAAACAAAGCAAACAAATTAATTGATATTAAGCTATTACTTTTTTATGCTTCTGTCAATGAAAAAACAATTAGAAGAACAACAACGTATTTTAAGGCGTTCTTTTTTAACACTCATATTTTCGCTAGAACATTTGCATGTTTTATAAATTGAAACGTAATTTTCTTCAAAAAAACACAAATTCAAAGATTCATTTTTTCGATGAAAAAACGCTTTCACAAAAAATGTATTTAAACACAAGAAAAGAAAATCCGTTTTAAGCAAGCTTTTTCAAGGTGTGTTTGTCTAAAAAACGCCAATGCATTTAAACGCAGTCTTTTTATGAAAATTTTTCCTAGGTATGCCTATTTTTTTTTTTGCAATACGTTGTTAAATAAATAAAATGATCAAAAAAGATACAAATATCTTATAAGGACGTAATCAGGGAGCGAAGCAAAAAAAAAAGGTCAAGGTGCGACGGAGAACAAAATATTCTCTCTGTTTCGGCCTTTTGCTCGGTATTTTTCATAGTAGAAAATTGTTATAATCTTAATAATTTTGTTTTGATGGATGAACTTTTAAAATTAGATTTATGATTGAAATAAACGATGTTAAAAATATGTAGATGCATTTCGAAAAAAAAAAATAATCTTATATTTTAAGGAAATAAAAGGCACAAAAAATAGTTAGTGACAAAGCACCGGCAAATTCAAGTCAATAAGGTCACGTTTTAGATAGTATTAAGTGATTGCAAAGATTGTGATTGATTTTGAACCTGTAATAGGCGTTCATGTTCACGTGCATGAATATCTAATAAAGCTTTATTTTCACGCATTTGTTCTCGTTGTCGTGTTAAACGTATATAATTATCTTCTCGTCGTGTTTGAAACTAAAATAAAAAACAAAAACAAACGATGAATAGATAATATTTATTTGAAAATTAATTTTATAATTATACTTTATATAATTTTGCTTTTTCTTTAGTTAAATGTTGTTCTAATTCTTTTTCTTCTTGTTCCGATCGTGCAATAGCATTTCGAATTTTTTTAGCATCCTCTCGTTTTTTTCGTATTAAATCATCTTTTAATCGTTGTACTTCTTGTTCTTTTTTACGTCGTTGAAATTCAGCTTCTTTTACTGATTTACGTAATTCATATTCAATATCTTCATTTTTATTCATCGTATTCTATAAAAATAATAATGAAAATAAACTAAAACATTAAATAGAATCATTTACTTCTAAATCTCGTAAGCAATCTTCATGTTTCTTAGTTTCAAGCTCAATATGACGTATTTTAGCTTTAGTTGTTCCTTCACTTTCACGTTCCTCACTTTTATTAACCTTATCACGCATATATTGATTCATTAATTGTGAACGACGATTATCAATATCCTAAAATATGAGACAAAAAAAAAATTATCTTCTTTGATTTTTGTTTGTTGTAATAAAAAATAAATAAGCATACAGTCATTTTAGACATTAATTGAGTAGCACGTCGATCTTGTTCCGTAATAGTTGTACTGACATTTTGTTGTCGTTGTTTAGCATAAATTGTTTCTAATCGACTCTTTGTATCACCAATTCGACGAAGAGCTAAAAATTATACATCATGAAGATATTGAAATATTTTCATTATACCTTCACGTTGTTTAAGATCAAGCATAGAACGATGAAGTGTTACATCACCTGAAAGACGACGTCTTTCATGATCGTAGTTTTTACCATAGACATTTGTTTGACTACAAAAAGAATAGAATTTAGAAATGAACATTATAAACCTTTCATGTCTTCAAAGCCGATAAATTAAATTTGGATGAGCTTCAGCGCTCTAAACCTTATCGAAAGTAGAAGAAAATTTGTTGGTTTTAATGGACAATAGACTTACAAAGTGAGCTCGACCATTTCGGAGTGATTATTTAGATACTCTTGACTCTTATATCACTCTGTAGAGAATAATTTCGCCTTTAAAGGAGACTAATAGTCAATATTCTTCGTTTGAACTTAACTTCCGTGTTTGTAAAAGGTCGCTCCATAGCTCTTAAAACCAGAAGTTCTAGAAAAATCTTAAAGTCATATTCTGAAACCATACATAATTTTGATTGAAACTCAATTATCTCAAATTTCTACAGTCTCCTTTAAGAGATTGAAAAGTGAATGTATATTTTGTTCAATTACTTTTCGATAAATCCTCTTTGTATTCTTTACGCATTGTTCTTTCTTCATTGTACGATAGTAACACTACATTAAAATAATAATAGCATGAGATTCTTAAGGGGTATTTTGAGTAAAAAAAAAACATTTTAAGTTTAGTATAGTAAAATGAATGCTCAATGTCAACAATATGAAACCTTAACAGATTTCAATTCATAAAGAAAGAAGATAATTGTTTCATAATAAAGATGTCTGATTTCGTTTGTTTTTCTCTAAACAAGCTGTGACATCGATTACATGAGAATTTGAAAGTAGATAAGAAAAATTTAATGACAGAAACAAAATGAATTTCATCAGAATATAGTTTCTGTTTGACAATAAAATCATTCATTGTTTATATTTACTTAAATTTTTGTTCTTGTTCAAGATCCTGTTTCATTGTTTGACCTCGATCATAATCAGCAATGCTATAAAATGAATAATATTTCAATTGAATTTATACTATCGAATATAGATAATACTTTAGAAAATCTTTCATATCAGTTTTTACTTTTTGAGCTTCTAAATTAAGTGCCGTAGCTATATCAGCTAATTCTTTTTTAAGTCGACTTTCTTCCAACTAAATAAAAAAGAAAAAAATATGAATAAAATAGAAAATTGTTTCTTATAAGATCAAACCTCTTTTTGTTGAACTTTTTGTTCAAAATCTGTATGAATTCGATCTAATTGTTGATGTTTTATTTGAAGTTCATGTGTTTTTGTTTGATATTGATGAGATAGATCATTACAGAGAAGTAAATTACGACGATCTTTATCTTTGTTTGTTTGTAATGAATCAATTAAACGATCAGTTCGTTGTTTTGTTTGCTGGTTAAAAGAGAAAAATAGTTTACAAATTTTTCATTTAATTTCTAGAAAATTCTATGATAAATATTTAAAAAAAAAATTAAATCAACGTATGTATAAAGATTTGATTATTATTTATAGGATAGGTACAGGGATTTCTTTTTACCCTACTACAATAACTATTTGCAAAAGATCGACACGTTTGACTTGATCGAATTAAATATGTTATTCGTGCCAATGTTTTTGAAGAACATGCTTTTGTATACTGTAATGATATTTCGATGTAATTTATAATAAAAACTTTTATTTGAAGATAATTATCTGTTTAAAAGATTATATAGACAATGAACAAATAAAAACAAGAATTTGACAAAAAGACCTTGAAAACTTTTTCTCGTGGTAATAATGCAATGTTTATTTTAGATTAATAATAATAGGTAGAAATTTACCTTTTCTCGTTTTTTAACGAATTCTCTTTCAATTTTATCTTTTTCTTCGAGATTTTTTGATAAATGTTTTTCAGCATTATAACGTTTTCTTGTTGCATCTATATTTAATTAATTAAAACAAAAACACAAAATAGATTGAAATATTATTTATTACATACTTACCAACATCAAGATCTCGAAGTGAATGATGTAATTGTCGTTGTTCTTTTTTAATATCACCTTCTAAACGCTTTGCTTCTCGTTCACTTTGTTTTGCTTTAATCATTTGTTCCTTAAATTTGAACAATCATAGATTAATTTTTTGTTTAAATAAGTGAAACGAACTTCAATAAGTTTCATTTGTTTTTCATATTCCTTTTTTTTATTTTCAAGATTTGTTGATAAAGCTAGAGAAGATGCTAATTCATTTTCATCGGATGTTTTTAATTTTCTTGATGTTGTTCCAATAGTTGGTGTTGATAATGATGATTTATTAATAGAAGCAAGTAAACCACTTCGTGATGGTGATGTTTGATATTTTGGTATTTGAAAATCATCTTGTTGACGATGAAGGGTACGAATACGTCGAGATGAATCAACATAACCTCCTTTTGTCATATAACGACCATGTTTTCTAAAGATAATAAAAATGATAGTTCTTTTTTTCGTAATGAAAAATTTAAAAAAAAAAAGAAAAACTTTACCGTAAAAATTCAGCATAATTAACAAGATCATCATCATCATATGTGTATGTACTAGTCTCGGCAATAACTGCATAACGATTGTCGAGTAATGAGGGACGAGCAAAGGCGGTCATTAATTATGTATATGATGTTTAAATCGCACTCACCTATTTTAACTCGTCAAATGTAGCAACAGAACAAAAAATTTTCGACCATCGAACGTTTAATAACCATTTTTTTAATTGTTTCCATGCCAATGTCATTCACAGAATTGCTTATATAAACAAAAACATATACAGATGGCATTGGATGATGAGATTTTAAAAAGACTAATTTTGAGTAAATTAATAGATCTATTGAATAAGATTCTTTTGTTTTTTTTCAGAAAAGCAGATATTGACAAAGTTGAAATTTTTTTTTAATTGCATTTTTTATAAATCGTAATTAATTCATTATCCGTACGATAGTCTTTTTTTAAAATTATTTTATTTATTTCCTTAATTATATTATTCATTATTGGAAGTCTCTAAAAATTTATTAGTAAAATTGAACATCTGTTGAATGTATGCTCACTTCCATTTTGACGCAATCCTCAATGTCTATTATGATTTGCTGAATTTTTCTAATTCGATTTCTTTTTTTTCTTGTTCTTGTATCGAATATTCCTCAGACATTTTATATGCTATGAAGTACTGAAATATTTTAACTTAGAGGTAAAATTGCGATCTATAACTTAATAGAGTCGGAATTTTCATGTTTGACTTACTTTTTGAAAAAAGAAATGAATATTTTTCAGTAGAGACATCCTGAATTTCCGAGTTATTTGAGTGAAATTCCATCAGAAGTACAGAAACAATATTTTCAAACATTGAACTCTGTTAAATTGTAACGGCAAGTCTTAGTTGCATTTAAGAATCAACCCAGAATCCATATCATTAGATCTGGAGGAAAAATTTTGGTCTCATGGAGTCTTATTTTGAGAGCCCTTGACGTTGTGATATCTTGTATGACATTTGCGACGTTCGGTTTGGTGCTAAATGTCGTTGTGAAAAATATTATACTCTGAAACGTTTTTAGACGTCTGTGTATGAAAATAAAACTTATCTAAGAATTTTTTGAAAAAAATTCTTTGTTTTCATTTACCAAAAAAAACCGTCGTCAAAGAATTAAACAGCTTGGCGTAAGATATCAGAGACAATGATTTTTTTTACGATCTCTGTTTGATCTTATAAGATCTTACCATATTGGCTGAACTGGAAATATTTACTCGAAACACAATATATTATATGACTTCATGACTTCATCAACTGAATACAATCCTTATAAGACCAGAGTCTGATACAAGTCACAAACTATTTTTCTCGGCGCTGAACGATGAAAGATTGAAATGAGATGAAACAGGATTTAATTGAATTCTCAGAGTTTCGTTGTGCTAAAATTCCACACTGCAAATGTTCATATATAGAAGACAAGTTGTTGAATAATCGGTGTAAATGCTTATCATCGATGTCTTTACTTTATCAAGTTTTATGTTGGAAAAGTAAAAAGTTCTTGCAACTTGACAAATCTATTCATGACAAAAGCATGTGGTTGAACAGTGAATGTTCAAGGCAGTTGTCATGATTTTCACTATTGAAGTTGTATGCTTTTCGTTAATTCTTGAGATAATTCTTTTTATTTTGACAAGTCAACACAAATTTTTAATTTTAGGATAATTATATATTTTGTTAATGTATAATAAAGAAGACAATAACGATAAATATAATAAATATTAATAGAATTTGTTTTTTTTTTGTTTTTTAATTTTTTTATAAACTAATTTTATTATTTTTAAGAAAAGAGAAAGATAATCAGAAAGAAAAAAAAATGAAGTTTGTTCTTGTAGATTTAATTTCTCTTGATGTGATGTGTTTCATTCACTTTCATGTTTCTATCTATTGAACTGAGAGTAAAGAAATCCATTGCTCGACAGATATTTATCAATCTATAATTTATATTCGGTGTTAAACTTCATCACTGTATGTTATTGATGTTGCTATTCATATGTTTAGCTTTGCAGGTAAAGATAAAGTGTTTCTTATTAGTTTTGTATGAATGTATACAAGAATTACGATCAAAATATTTTATATCAATTATCTGACTTTTGAATTTCAACAGTAGGATGTGCATGAAATATTGAAAAAACAATATTGTGGAAAACAAAAATACAAATAATTCTGATTTTAGCAAATAGAAAAAAACAAACGGTAAAAATATCTGCTATATCGGCAGTAAAATTGACTAAAAATGTTTGAAAATAACTTCAATGTTTCACTAGTATAATATACCACAAATCATACTTTATTGTGAACCGTTTTTACTTTACTAATATGATTACACACTAAGAAATAAATATAGTGGGCATGCGACACGAAAACTCTCAAAATAAAGACAACTTCTATATCAACTATTTTCCAACAAACAATTCGCAAAATTTCTCTTTTTCAAAAAGTTCTCAATTGCTCTTGAATTATTTGGAAAAGCTATCTATTGTTTTCGCAATAGCTACTTCAAGAGGAAGATATTTGACTGAGCAATCCAAACAATCTCAACGACAATGCAGAGTTTGTATATCCAATCCCAAGTCAAACAATTCAGGGAGAAGGATTTTAGTCTCAATTTCTTTGGATTTTGTCAGAATCTGACCAAAATCGATAGAATTCTATCGGTACTAAGACAATCTGACAGGATCCAATGGATTAGCTTCAACCCGGGACAATGCCCGACACGATACATAATATGTGTCCGACCTACAATATATTTCTATACATTGTCGATTGCTTTATAAAGATTATCATACAAAAAAGATCTATTGATGCTTTCTTGACACAGAGCTGTAAAAATAAAAATCATATTTAAACATTTTTCATAAAAATTTTCGTTGTCACAAAAAAAAAACGTCGGAAATCAAACGGTGAAATTTTTGAAGTATGATGATCTGATTGGTTTCAAAGAATAATTAATCTACAGTGAAGCAATAAAAGAAAACAGACGGATTTAATCAAAAGAAAACTTAAATTACGCAGTTTCTCATCACGTGGATAGATGATAATCTGTCTAACACTATAATAACACGTATAAAAGATAATAAATCCCAGTCTAACAAGATTTGAATCACAATGAAAGCTCATTATATATAAGTGTGTTCGTTGTACTTGACAATTGTGATATTTCGATGGACACTATGTTACATTGATCTGTTTTTCTCATTTAGTAAACAAATCGAAAAAACAATAGATGACCTTGTTAATTATATTAATGACAAGAAATGATAGAAAATGGAAAAAGAATGCTTCGTTAAATCTTGGACTCTTTTCACAGAAAATAATTATTAAATATAAAGAAAATTAATTTGTAACAAGACACAAACTAAATTATTATTGTTGTATTTTAATTTTTGATATCTCGTTCATAATGCCTTTGAAGTCAGTGAAGAGTAAAATCTTATCAAAGACATATTTTCTCTTGTGAATATTAAATAAATACAAGAATAATCTTCCTGACCAAGGATAGCGTATGCAGAATCTTAATACAAGAATCAGATAAGTCTTTTGTTTGTCTTCTTCATGTCTACATTGTCAAAACGTAGAAAATATTAAACCAAATAGAAATATATATATCTACCTACAGAAAAAAAATAGATGAAGTCAAAGCAGTGAAACAAGTAAGAGTATCAGACGTTCATTTCAATAAGTGCTGTATAATACCAAAGAAGTTAACAAACAAAGGTAAACATATCAAATGGCTAGTTGGATTCGAAAAAACGACACAATTCCTTACGAAACAGCTGAATTAATCATAAGTGCTATTATTCCTATAATTCTTATTATAATTGGAACTATCGGCAATCTTATATCGATTTTTATTTTATTTAACAAAGAAAATTATCAAATATCTACTAATATTTATTTAATATTTCTATGTCTTATGGATACGATATCACTTTATCAATGGAATTTAAAACATGCTGTTCATACAATTACAGCAGGTAGACGAGAAATATGGGGACGATCAGTGTTTCTTTGTCAATTGGGTCAATTTTTTGCTTTTTACACTTTACATACGTCAGCTATGTTTCTTACTTTCGTGGAACTTGATCGTGCTTGTTTATTACGTAGTACATGGTATAAAAGAAAAATAGCTCAACCACGTATAGCATTAATAATCTGTACTATTATTCTAGTAGTTTTATTTGCATTGAATGGTTTTTTATTTGGATTAGGTTTTGAATATTCTATCTATAATAATAGTACTGGTATACAAGAAACACTTATAGAATGCTATTACTCATTGAATCCACAGCTCAATAATTTCTTTAGTTTTCAATACGTATGGGTAAGTACTCAATTAACATATACAAGATTGATATTTAGTTTCTTTTTATTAGATTCATCTTGTAGTCATGTATATTGTGCCATTTATTGTTATTATTGTTTGTACATTGCTCATAGTGAAAAAGTTGATTGTTAAACAAACATTTACAAATAATCAATTATCAATTAGTGCTCAACGCAATCGTCGTATTTCAATAATGCTTTTACTCATGTGTTTGACTTATGCTGTTTGTACTTTACCTAATCGTCTTTGTTTTTCAGTTTTCGAGAGTCAGCTTATTGGTCATGACTATACAGATACAGTATTTCTTGCAACGAATACATTAATGTATACAAGAAATGCATCGAATGCATTTTTTCTTTATATATCAGTATATGGTTTTCGACGAGATGTACGCAATTTATTATTATTATGCTTTAGAAAACGACCTATTCAAGTGGTTCCATATAATACATGGACTGAAAACCAAATGGTTACAATATCGAAAAATCCAGGGCCAACTAAACGTGCAATTCCTAAATTGCGTGTCATAACAAACTAAAAGTTTCTTTTTATTATTCATGTATAATACAGAATTATAAATTTTTGTTTTGTTTTATTCATCCATTATATGCTTTATAAAGTTGAGATCGTAATTATATTTTACATGTATGTTGTAAGTTTTTAAAATAAAATATGTATTATTGTTTTTATATAAATAAATTTGGTTATTTGAAAATAATTCGAAAGATGAACAGTTTCACTTGTTGAGATTGGAAGT